TCCCTAAAACAAAGTTGTAAGGTTCTAAAATACATGATTTGAATGCAGTGGTTCATAGCATGACTTAAACACACTATTGTACTAAAGAGAACTGAACCAAACATTTAAATAATCATTAAATTTGCTATAATGAGGACAAAAATGATTCTAAAATTCATGATTTGAATGTAAGGGTTCATAGCATGGTATGCATGCAGCTATGTTGAAGAAAAATTTCAGATACAACCTTGTTGTGGTTAACAAAACATATAAATAATCCTCAAATCCGCTATAACGACGATAAAAATGGTTCTAAACTACATGATTTTAATGTAAGGGTTCATAGCATGACATGAAATAGGTGTTGTACTGGACAAAATATGTAAATAATTCCTGAACCTGCTATTAACCCTTACTTTCTCTAGTACAACACAAATGTATTTGAGATTTTTCTTTTGTACCACCATATTTTATGCCTTGTCAAGAATACTTGCATTCAAATCATATAATTTAGAATCATTTTTGTTATCACTATAGAGGATTTAAGGATTATTTATATGTATTGTTCGGTATAACACGGTTGTATCTGAGTTTTTTCTTTAGTATAACCGTGTGTTTATGTCATACTTTGAATCCTTACATTTAAATCATATATTTTAGAACCTTACAAGTGTATTGGAATGAATAAAATATGTAATAATCAAATTCTCTCCACAAATAGGGGTCACACCTATTTTCTCCAAGAATGTAGAGTAACGTCCCGACTCCACACGTAATTTTACGTATTTTTTTCTCGACAAATAGGAGTCACATCTATTTTTATAAATATAGAGTACACAGATAACTTTTACATGAAATAATAATAATAATAATAATAATAATAATAATAATAATAATAATAATAATATTTAAAATAATACATTCCTATGTATACATTAAACAAACATGAAATAAATAAATAAAACCTTAATATTTTAAGGATAATAAAACACTAAAATTTAAGAAAGAAAAAAATAAATAAATAATTATCATAAATCAACAGCGGTGGCAAAAAATATAATAAAAAATGGAAATTAATAATTATAATAAAATATAATTAGTGATTAAAAACAAACTAAATATGATCATCAATATTTTTTTTAGAAAATGCATATAAAAAATAAATAACAATTATTTTGTACAATTTCCTATTTATAAATTTAATTATAACTTTTAAGAAAACAAATGTTTGAATTACTATTTTTAATTGGACAAGTTACAAACATAACTAACATATGTCGAACACATGTCATATGTGTGATCATATTCGACGCATATCAGACCATGCACATCTATTTGTATTGAAATGTCGGTGCATCATAATTTTTGAACCAATGCACTTGATGAACAACTCGAACTTGACACCAAAAATACTAGTTCAAGTTCATTAAGTTGGCCTTCGCTTTTTAAATGTGGAAACATTTTCCTTCACTTGAGATAAAAATAAGCTCATATTTTTCCTGCGCGCAGCCTGTTCTGCAACACCCATCTTATTCTTTCTAGCTGATTTTAAATGTCTAATGTGCTTGAAATAGCGTGAAGAAAGCCAAAAGGATGAGGACAAAGCTATTCAGATTTCAAAGTGGGAAGCAATTATCTGGCTTGCAATTGTTACTGTGTGGATTGCAGTCATCTCAGCATATTTAGTTGATACCATTGAGGTAAAATTTCATATCATAGTTGTTATAAGACCAAAGACAATATTTGTTCTTTGTTGTTACTTTCTCCATCATTTCTTCATCAAATAAGTGAAGTGATGAAAAAATTTCCTTATTTTCTCCTCCTAATGCACGATAAATCATTGTGAGAAAGCATAAAGCCAAAATCTAGTCCCCATTTACTGAAAGCTAATCCCTTGGTTGTTTTAACAATTGGATAGGGGGCTTCTAAGGCATGGAATATGCCTATTGCATTTATAAGTGTTATTTTGCTTCCAGTAATAGGCAATGCTGCCGAACATGCAAGCGCCATTATGTTTGCCATGAAAGAAAAACTAGTAAGTTCTATGATTCTGCAGAGTTTTTAAATTTTCTCACAGGTTTTGTTCAGGAGTCTTATTTCTTTCATCTTCTTACTAAGGACATTTCTCTTGGAGTTGCAATTGGCTCATCCACGCAGATATCAATGTTTGGGGTAACTGCAACTTACATCTCTCTCTCTCTCTCTCTCTCTCTACACACCCACACCCACACCCACACCCAACCTCATGCATAGGCACCTACAAACATTCAAACAACAGTTTCAACGGCATTTCTATGATCACATACACAAAAGAAAGAAAAGAGTTAAAATACAATGAATCAAAAGAACAAACCCGAAACACATTCAATTAAGAACTCAAGCAAAGTAATGTTTTTATCAGACTAAAGTTAAATCAGATAGGCATGTATTTTTTGAAAATTCCTTTGTGTGGAAAAATTTGAAAAAACAATTTTGTGGCTAATACATTTTTCTAAAAAAAATTAGTATAATGATCAACTTTTTCTCTTTATATATGCAGATTCCTTTCTGTGTGATAATAGGATGGATAATGGAGAGGCATATGGACTTGAATTTTCAGCTTTTTGAGACAGTTACACTCTTCATAACAGTATTAGTTGTTGCCTTCATGTTACAGGTTTTCCTTGAGACTACATAACGAAATGAAATTTTTTGTCTTAGCCTGTGGCCTTATACTATTTTCATCTACTCTAATACTTCAATTCAGGATGGAACCTCTAATTACCTTAGAGGAATGATGCTTATTCTCAGCTATATAATTGTAGCTGCTAGCTTTTATGTACATGTTGATCCTACCTTCGGTGAGTCTAAATTGCCAAACACTTTTAAAAGCTTTTCTTTTAAATGAACATTATAAGCATTTCATCACTACCTTTCCCAGAAGAAAAATGTTAGAATATCCTTATAGTATTTATTTTGATATCTGATTATGTTTTGTAGAAGAGAGTTCTCCCATGAACTAGATAGATGGGAACTTCAAGCATTCATTCATGGGAAAGAGAAGTTGACACGAAGACATTTCAGCCTATACATATTAAATCTGCATGTTTTATTGCATGAGATCAT